TGGAGAGTTATCCTCCTTTGGATAACCTCCGCCCGGCATATTACCCTCCGACCTCCCCGACCATTTACTTCATCTCCACCTTTGGGTCGCCAGGAGCCCAGTGTCGTTCACTCTGCTTGTTTGGCATGACGCCAGGTTTAATACAAATCATTTATCCTCCCCCCATATAGTCTGATCTTCCAAACCATCAGCTGATGGAGCAGGCATTCGCAAAACAAAACAAAACATTGTCCTCCTTCAGCCGTCTGGCAGGGTACCGCTCTATGGACTGGTACAGGTGTCAGTCTAGCCATTCTCTTACTTATCGCTAGGCAGTGGACACAGAAGTGTGAAGCGATTCTGTCGCGTGCCGCACGGAGACTGGCTCACCTATAAAGGGATCCAGAAACCGTATAAGGCCTGCGCGGACTCATCAGAAGGCGTCGACATGCTCACTAGCGCGGCGGCTGCACCTGGACGGGGGTGGGGGGGGGGGAGGGTGGGAGGGTGGGTGGGGGGGTGGGGGAGGTGCCAGTGGTGTCTCCTGCTGCTTAAAGGCGCCGACGCCAGGAACATTGCCACAATCGAGCTTGGGGTTTAGCCTAAGCTGCATTCTTGCAGGATGGTTTTAGGCCAGTCTTAATTCTAGAAAACTCATGCCGCTTGCTCCCTAGCAAAGGAGTGATCTGTTCGTGGCGCATGCACTGGCGGCATAGGCATCTCGTGAGTCGTGGGTAATTAAGATTCCATGATCAAGGTGAAGTGCAGGCGTGGAGTGGAGTGCCTTCCGATTTCCTGGTTTTTGCTGTTATTGTTTCAGTGGCTCCTGAGCAAGTTAACGTGACGCTTTTTCGTGCAGCCATTATACATGCGTGGCACCCGCTGACCGCACTGCGCTTTGAATTTATGGCGTCTGCTGGAATTTAAGCGTCGAAACTCGCGCTAAAAATACAATATTTTCTGAGAAAAGTGCGCTTGTTGTGGGGCAGTGACTACTAAGAGTAAGTTCGTTCCGACGCTGTCATGAACATAGAAAAGTCTATAGTAAATGATGGTTTTCATTTGGTGACCCAAAATGTCACACTGCTCGATGTCAAACTATCCCTACGTAATCTAAAAAGGTTTGTTTTTCTGGCGTATCATCGCAGTTGTTTCATACTTCCCATAATACACCGGAAATATCAATCCGAGGGCACATTGGCCACGCGTGGCTCGGGAAGAAGCCGCCGTTCTAAAGCAGGAACACAGGTTGAAGATAGTTGTGTGTTGGGACCTGGTCACACTTATTGGTATCTCAGTGATCACAACTAATAGATGTTGTGTGATTAAAAAGAAAACTAACACGACCAATGCCACAAAAGACTACGTAGATTCAAGGCATATGCGATGCGATATTTTCTCGACAACATGCAACACCAGCACGTTTTCCAGATAACAGAGGATCCACCAAGGAGATTGCAGAAGAAAAGAAAAGCGGCTTCACCTCTCGTCTTGCCCGGCAACAGCATTAAGTTAATGCTATGTTGCGGACTTTGGACTCCTCTGTTTGGCTTTCCCCTTCCCTTGCATCAGCCAAGCCTCCTTCTTCAGCTACGTTTCCCAGAAACCGCGATTTTTTCTCTTCCACACCCGATTAAACATAGAACTTACGCGGGGCATTTCAAATGAGCTGAATTCTCCACCAGGTTCTAGGCTTCCTTCAACCGGCACATCCATCATGACAGTTTCAATGCCTATTCTTCCCAATCTTCATCATCACACAAAACTAGGCGCGTAATGTGCCTGAATCACGGTTAAAGAGCGCACGTGACCGAGGAGAGCAACGGTATAACGCTTTTTTGTTCTTCCACTAGCTTGTTGAAAGGCATGTTTCCCTCACACCGGTCAACATATACATAGCCTGCGTCACAGTGCGATCGGGAATCAGGAAACATTACAGGATCATGGTTTAACATACGTCACAATATAATGGAAACAAGGCAAAATATCCCGGCAATTTGTCACAGCATCAGCTTAACACTTAAACATTACGATGGAGATAACCTTGTCACTTTCCTACTTACGTCAAAGCTCTTTCTTCAGTTATGTAGTGAACATTCTTTTATTGACGTTCGCCATCCTTTCGTTTACATCTCTAATTGAATGTACAGATCACTACTTATCAGTCCTGCTTCACTTTGTACCTGCGCATAACACGTACCATGATCACATTCGGGAATCCTGCTGCGCGACCAAGCGGTATTGTAGGAAGGCGCGTGCAGTATAGTGTGTAACGCGCGCTTTCGGCACAGAGAACACCAATTTTCCTGTTGTCATCATGTTGAGTTGCACTGGTCCAGTTAAACGATACACAAGCATTACAAAAGTGTCACTCAGTTCAAACATGCATCCGTCTCAGCACACAAAAATTGTCAGCACATTCAACTTCACTGTCGAGGACTCATTTTTACATTAATTAGTATTTTCAAACACTCTGGTCCAAGACGTGATCGTCTATGCCGTTGTGTTGCCTTGTCAGCTTGGAAAATGTTTGCTTACTCAGCCCAGTTACGACAATAGTGACACGAACGACGGCACCACAGATGCATATGAATGCTGATACATTTTAAACGGATATGTAGTAAGACACCAGTTCTTATGATAAGGTGTTTTGCGATAGCGTTGCATCCATTTCACATCAGAGATTGAATGGCGACTATTAGCCATGTTCACGACGGATTGATGTGCTGGAAAGTTGCAAAATGTTGCTATGAACTTTTATTATGTACTAAATACCTTGACGAGGAAATAATTGTGTTCATGCCATTTCATTGACATGTAATAGCTAAGTTACGTGTGAAAGCAACTAAAATAAGGTTAGTGACATAAAACGAGTTTTTAAAAAATAAATTTGTTGTCTTTAGTCTATGCATTTAGTTCGCGCAAATTCTAGGGCGAACACCGGGAATGGCAATCGACCGTGTGAATTGGTCGGGGACGTGTGCTGAGTGCGACATTATTGTCAACATCGGTTCTGCGTGGAGCAGGGCGGGCTTGAAGGATCATTTCACTCAAGCATCATTCGTCGTGAATCATGCTTACTCATGTAGGCTTTGCAAGTACTGCATATCTAAGGAAATGGACACGGCAGGATATTGGAGTTTGTTTTGTCGCGCCTGCGTCAGACATGTCACCGAATGTTCAACCTAAGACGTTCTGTAGAATAAGATCTGGCATCATTCCCGACAATAAACGTATGATCTTGCTTAGAGTCCGTCACTAGAAGTGTTATCAAAATATAGTCTGCCAACCTGTTTCTTATGATTATACGAAATATTTGTAGCCAGTGATCGCTGATGATAGTTGTGTCGTCAGGAAATATCGCCGAAAAGGTTTCAAAAAGCTTTTAAAAGTATCGTACTGTAAATCTTCGTCATGACGGCTTATGCTATTTGCTAATGATCATGATGATCAATCTCAGACCAGGTTCACAGCGCAGACCCATCTTTCACAGCGCAGTGATATTGCTGGAGTGGAGGGATTGATTAAATGATTGCAATTTCCAGGGCCTCCCATAACTGCATACTGACCGACTGCCTGTCACTGCATTCTTGTACACTCGGCCAGACATTCATACCGCCGTCCGCTCCACATGCACCCGCCAGGACAAGTATGGATCAAGTCGGTGGTACCGCTGCCAGCGTCACTGGCGTGAAGTTGCGTGTTTTCCCCCACGTCGACTCCCAGCTGTCAGTACCTTGGTCAGCACTAGACACTACCCCTGCAGGGCCAGGTAGAGACTGACTGGCTTAAACCTGGCTGCCATCTGCCGGTGGTCTCGGTGAACTCGCGCTGCGCTCCACCGCCGATCGGTGGCGGTGGCGGCGCGGTTCCAGCGCGCCCGGCGCGTGCGACACCGTGCGCCTGTAGGGGCGGCCCGTTGACGACATGGTGCGCTGGAAGGTGTGTCCCCCGGACATGGTGCGCCGGTAGGAGACGCGGCCGTCCGGACGCCGGCAGCTGGGCCGGCGCGGCTGCAGCTCCGGCCGGCGGGGCCGGCTGCGCGCCTCGGCTCCCTGCAGCGGGTCCTGCCGGCCAGAGGCCGCCAGCCACTCCTTGCGGTGCTCCTTCTCTGCTGGTCCCCAGTCGGCGTTCGGTTTGAACGTTGAGATGATCCGCTGGGGGCGGAGGGTTGGGTCACGTCAAAGCTTTTCTTTTCTTGCCAGGTCGAGGTCAAAGCAGACTTTTCCACGGACGTGGGTTTGGTTTTGCTGTATCACGTCTTTTGCGTAATGCTGTGTAACTGGTATGTTTCCAAACATGACATGATGTGCTTCAAGCAACGATCGCAAAGCTGGACAATTGTATTTATTTGGACAAAGCTGGACAATGCAAACCAGACAATTAATTCCATTTCAGGCCATATTTTTGTAATATCTATTACCCATGTTTAGCTTCTTATATCATGTACCACAAACTGTGATTGGTGTTGGAGTCTTGTACTGCCTGAAAAAAAATTGATCGACAGCCAATTAATGTCTGTTTCATCCAGAAACGGTGCTCACGAATGCCAGACATAAATGACTTGACGATTATACTATTCTTGCCCTTGTACGCCGCATGGCCAATGGGGTAGTAGTATTTAGATGACGTCTCCGTGGCGTCATCCACATCTGAGTGACCTTGAAGTAGTCTGCATGAAAATTCTGCACATCTTCGGGGGTAGATGCCTCAGAAACTACGGGGTTTACATCTTAAATTGCGTATGGCTGTGAGCTGTACCAAATGATCTTTAAGACGGCTATTTCAGTTCAAAACCTACTGCAACTGTGGAACAAAGACAAAGGGGCAAACCAGGCAACTGTCGAAACATAACTGATGGTAGCCTGAAAATAAGACAACTCTCACGAGCAATCGATATCCTTAACCGGCACAAGACTTACCTCAAACCAGGTGGTTCCCTTGGCCTTGTAGACGGCGTACACAAAGCAGATGGGTACAGTGGCAAAGGCGACCAGAATCAGGAGCCAGCCGCAAACTGACGGGAGGTCACGCATAATCAGTCACATTGCCTGGGTACGTGGTGCCTGACATTTACATGAAATGAATACAACAAGTGCCGCAGTGGACGGAACCATAATTTTGGCTACTTCAAGCATTTTCAATAGTAACGACATAGCATGGGCACTTCAACACAAGTGGCTCGTAATGATCATCACGCATTAAAATGTCAAGTTTGATGCCGTGCTCTTTCCTGTCATCCTGCTTACCAGCACTTCGTGGCACTGTACCATCACATCGTTGCATCGTACTTACACAGTGCCGTTATCTTATTGTAAATACACATAATATGAACAAACTTAACCTGCGCCCGGCCGGGGGTCTGAAATACGCGCGCCGGGCCTGCGGGAAGCTGACTTCCCCGCTCCCTGGAATCCCTACCTTCCAGACGTCGTGCGAGCAAAACAAATACCGTTGTGAAGGTCTCGTCATATCACGAAGAATGAAACCAAGTTTTGATCTTAGGTCACCAGAGGTCACGGAATGAGAAAAAGGTTGTTCTGATAGATGCAGTTAAAACATAGGTTAACACGTCACGACGGATAATGTGCGCACAAAAGTAAGCGTTAAGACTGTGTGCGTAACTGACCGTATCTGTCAGACTGTGTGACTGCATAAGCGTTATGCGTACATTCCCACCATTTTGGTTCCACCAAAAGGGTCAGGTCAGGTCAAGTTACCGTTCAAAATTGGTCTACCAGGAGCCTACAGCAATTATATTTTTTTGTTTTCTTTCACGATTTGCTTCTGACTAAATTTATTTTATTGGGTACAGCTGTAGGACAAAGGTATCCCAAACACAAACAGGCGAGTTAAGGCTGACCTGCAGGCCGTTTAAGTTTAACTTAGGTCACAATCCAACTGAGATAATTAGAGTGCTAACCGGGTCTAAGTGAGGTGCACAATGCCTTTCTGTGGTTAAAAATAGTGTGCTGTACATCTACATGTACTCAAGATCGTCAAGTTCTTGCACACCTTATACAAAGTCCCTCCCACGCTTGGCAATGCCTTTGTAACAAACTGAGAATTTGGCACCTTGGTACATTAAATTATACGTCAGCAGCTCCACAAACACCATATAGAGGGAGTTACACGCGTCGCACTTGTTCATCTAGTCTCTCCGCTACTGACAGCAGGGGTCATTGACGTTGTATGACCTCATATGACCTTGCATGTCTTCACATAGCCCATTGTGACCTCATCATGCACTGAGATAATATTATAGCATGTTTTCAGTAGGATATTTGAATTCCGCGTCCAAAGCTATCTGTTAAAACTGCCTATTTTTGGCTCAGCATGTGTTTTACAGGAAGCACCCATAGAGGTAGGTCATGACCTACGCCAATGTCATGTACTCTGTTGTCCGATGGTTGTGCATGTAGATAGTGTTTTTTCCTCATATACAAACACGAAAATTGCACAAAAATGTGTAAAAACTTACATTATTCACAAAAATAGCTAATATTTATCTCACATCAGGTCACTGACCTCGGCTGTTTCGAAAAATCTGAGATAAACAAACTGTGGGTACTATCATGTTCCATTACCGAAGCAAGTGCACGCAATGGCAAAGAATGCGCAAAAACGTTATGTGTGGTCAAATATTTTAGAAGTTAGCCTCTTTGGCCTGATTTAGGTCACTAGACTTTGCAGATCAAAACTTCAGATTTTCAAAACGATTTCAAATTGATTGATAAATAGGTGCTGAAAATTTAGTGTTGCTCCGTGCGATTATTTCTGAGCTGTGCTCGAAAAACCGGCATCCATTGCGCTTCGGCGTAATTTGGGATGAATATAGGATAATTAGCCTCTCTTTAACGTTTTTACAATAAAGTCACTTAGGTTGTTAAGTGCGTTTGCGAGGAGTATTATTCACATGGATAAAACAGCAGTAATAGCCTTATTCCTTGGAGAAAAACCAGGAGTTTGGAGATACAGATGCGCTGATATTTCGGCAACATGCGTGTATCAAAACGAACAGCAGAAGTGAATGGAAAATTGCCTGCTGATGGTTCTACTCTATTTTTCAGGTTTTTTTAAACAGCGAGCCACAATTCTTACAAGACACCAACATTCAGTGGATTAAACAAGGAGCCATTGCCAGCCATTACTATGATGCAGTGCATATCTAGTTGTGAATTAGAGTAAAATACGTGTACCATAAGACTACTATTACTACTGCTTTTCTACGTTTTCCAGTAAAAGCACATTGGCTGTGACTCGTTGTTGGGACATTCCTACCTTTGGAGTACCGTGAAGTAGCGCACCAGAAGAGGACGACAGTTCGAGCGATTATTCCATCTAATTCTAGCCTCTACGCGTGTCACCCCAGGACACCTTAAGTTGATTACGGAATGGAGCCCAGTCAAAGTCAGACCATGTTAGCTGAAGAACGACTAGCGGCTAGCTGCACCCAACACAAATACTCAAACACTGCACAAGGCACTCGCCAAGCCTGAGCGGGCGGTAGCTGGTTGAGGGAAGCACATGGTGTAGCAGATGCAGGCGTTCACACTCCACTCCTCCGCTTGGCAGGTGCGCCAGAGCAGGGGGCGCCACCTTCCTTGTGTTTGTGTGATGGTGATCCACTTGCTTCATCTTCTGCCCACGTCACGTGACTTACCGACAACTTTCCCTTCCTCCGTAAATGCAGTTTGTCACCGAAAGCTAGAACAGTCCCCAGTCTCTTTCTCAACACGCCTCTGCGCTCTTCAAATTTCCTGCCATCTACGGGCGAGTGGTGGTGGGATGCAAATAAAGGCTTTTAATATTGCTGACGATCTTTGTAATTCAGTGCCAGCAGTTTCATATCCCATTGTTTGTGCTGAGAAGATGATATTTATCAGGATCGGCACAGCGTTAAGCGGGAGCGCAAGAAAGATGGTCAGTGAGGTGGAGCCGTGTTCCATGCAGTCAGTATCATTGTTTCGCAGGCCGTAAGTGTGGAGCGAAGCGAGGCGAGACAGCGCGGACCAAGCTTTGGGTCAACATCAGATCTCGCAGCAAAAGAACCTAGCAGGAACAAGCTGGCATGGCCCGGCGACTACGGGCACGGTAGCGGACCACGAGGGCTGATCCGATGCACGTATTAGCTGCCGACCAGAGCTCGTAGGCTGCCGTGCTGTTTACTCACTTATGGCGATGGGAGGATAGCCGACTTGGCCATACTTGAGCGGCTTGATAGTAGCCAACGAGTAGATGAAGATCCCGAGCAGAGCGAGTGGAATGAAGATGGCCCAGCAGAACTTCCAGTACCAGTTGGGTCTCGTTCCCACCATAAACTCCAGGTCATCGCAGAAGTTTTTGATACCATACACCCACTGTATGGCCATCACTTCTATCGTGGCCAGGATGAAAATGATGAATCCTCCACCGAAGTAGTCAACCAGGGTCAAAACAAACTGGCCACCCTGCAATGGTGACACGGAGAAAGTGTAAGCAGGAAGAATAGGCAGAGGTTTATTCAATAAATGCTGGCAGTGGCAGCATATATTGAGCAGTGACATTGAGGAAGTACATGCTTAGCATATTGCATTTTAAGCTGTTATTTTCCCTGTTTTGCATTTTTAGTGTAGCAGGTGCATACCACGACACATATTGCGTTATACCAGTGTAGCAGGTACATACCACGACACATATTACGTTATACTAATACTTTAAAGCACATCTTAATTCATCGCTGATCATGACCTTTAACCAACCTTATAACGAGGCTCGTAGAAAGACGCGTATTCAAAACACTCATGCATGCACAGGCGTGCAAACTTCTAAACCATCAACTATATATATAAACATATATATATATATATATATATATATATATATATATATATATATATATATATATGTACGGCTTAAAGGGATTGCCTGCCCCAGATTTGAAGATATTTAAGCCAACATCAGACATGTTGAAATGAGCTCACTTCTAACTTACAGTGAAAATTGCTCCAGGCACTACAAAGTCTTGGTCGAACTCATATGGTCCTCAACACGACGTTGTTTGATTACGTCATCGTGCTTTGCACAACATTGATTAAGGGCCAGTTGACGGCCATTATATCTGAAAATTATGCTCACGAATGTCAAATATGAACGACTCAAAAATCATATTTGTCTTGGCCTTGATTACCTGCATGGTCAACGTAATAGCAGAAATTGATTGACAGAATTATGACGTCATGGTTGCCTGGGTGGCCTTGAAATAGCCTCTTCGAAATAGTGTGCACATCTTCGCGGGGGTGTCGTCCAGGAAACTAGACAGTTTTCGGTCTCAAGAAGGACAGGGCAGCTGACTGCAACGCATGACCTTCCAGATGGCAAATTTCAGTTCAAAACGCCAAACAAATGTGGTACACTCCCTTTACCGAAACTGACAACTTGATACGCCCTCTAATCCACTGAGCTTCTTACGACAAGAACAGAAACAACATCAGTTTGCAGCCCGGCATTTAATCCAAATCATAGCCGCGTGGCGAGCATTCGAATGCCATCTAAGAATATCATCTGTCTCGAATGACATGACGACTTAAAACACCGCACAGCAGACTGAAACGTTCTTCGCATGGCGCTGAGGTTAGCCACGTTTCTTACGAATAGAAATAAGCTTAGTTCTTTGGTAGCTTATATCGTTTAGCATGTGAAGTGAGCCTCGATTGAAAAATCTGTGAAATGCGCTGAGACGTCAGTACTGATATAGTTTAGTTTGCAGTACATTTACGTTACCTGCTAAGAACTTTTCTGATTAGGGCTCTTGTGTTAAGAGGCATATTGCGGCTCAGCTTGATCACACAGCAAAACGTTGATGTTTCGGCATGTGCTCTACACAACCTTACGCTAGTCAGTAAAGGTCAATGCTAGGCGTTTCATCTGACTGGCGAGGTATATTGTAATTTGCTTCGAGTTTTGCAATGTTGCCACCAAATAGCTTACAAAAGTTTTCATTTTTGTCACCGCTCACACCGTGTTAATCGGTATTTTTTTTAATAGGCAGAGCAGGGCTCTCACATTGCGGCACCAGGCGATAGCACCGGCAGCCTAGCTTTTTAACAGGCGGAGCACGGCTCTGACATTACGGCACCAGGCGACAGCACCGGCAGCCTAGCTTTTTAATGGGCGGAGCACGGCTCTGACATTACGGCACCAGGCGACAGCACCGGCGGACTACCTTTTTAAGAGGCGGAGCAGGGCTCTCACATTACGGCACCAGGCGACAGCACCGGCGGCCTAGGCTCACCGGCGTGATATACACCAGGCCGAGGAGAAACCCGCAGATGGAGACGCCTGCTGCCACCTGCCACTGCTTCAGGCGCGGGAACTCCTCCCTGATGATGGTGATGATGCAGCCCGTGAGAGCCGTGGCCGAGCCCACGCCCAGCGTGAACAGCATCAAGAAGAACATCACGGCGAACAGCTGCGGAAAGACAGCAGCGGCGGTGATCGCGGCAATGCGGTTGCCGCCGAGCGGCGCCGGTCATCCCCAGCGATTTGCTGCCAGATGGCGGATTAGTCATCGACACATTCGACATCGGAAGGCATGAAAGCAATAGCGCCACTACATCTGGTCTGCGTTCGCCATTACCAACAGCTGTCCACAAGTTCCACCCATGACGTCAGAAGTATGTGCGTCACAACAGCTCCTGTGGCTTGGTGGTTAGTCGCCTTATGTATGACGTGGGTACTTGCGACGTCATAGGTAGCAACTCAAGCAGGTACTTTGCCAATGAGGAACGCGGCCCTGGTGGAAAGCGAGAGCGGAGGGAATGAGGAACGCGGCCCTGGTGAAAACCGAGAGCAGAGGGAATGACTGGACGAGAAGTCATCGTCCCATCCCGCCGTCCTCGTGTCTGACGGAGATATGCTGCACCCGTAACCCGGGAGCACCTCGTGCCATTCCCAGGACGTGCGCATCGCGTGACCCCAAAGACATGGGGAGTCACCGGACGACCGCAGTTGGCAGTTTGACATCTTCGGCTTCGGACAGGCGGAGTGTCGCTGCGCCGAACGACATATTCAGATGAAAAGGGTTCTTTAGTTTATGAACCGTGCTGGCATGTTTACGTTGTGGCTTTGTTGGAACTAACCGAACTAACCGGAGCTAAACGATTGTGATCCTTCAACTGGCCTAGCCTTGACCTATCCGTGACTCCGTGGATTGACTCAAGCGTGACTCACTTGACTCGTTCACGTGACTGGACGTTACTCCGTAACCTCCATCTTGACCAAGCCGTGACCCCTGACCTGATCCAACCTTGACCAGGCCGTGACTCTAAGCCAACTGAATCTTGATCAAGTCCTGATCCAATTATGTCACATTTTTTGTTATGTTATGAAATGTTATGTTATGACACATTATGTCAACTTTTTGTCCTAACCTGCGGCACGCCAGGAAAGAAAGCCAGCGCCTGCGGGTACGAGACGAAGGCGAGGGCCGTGCCGCCGCCCTTGATGACCTGGTCCACGGTGGTGTCCAGCTCGTGGGCCAGGTTGCCCAGGATAGCAAAGATGGTGAAGCCGGCTAGCAGCGAGGTCAGCATGTCCGCAATGCTGATGATGGCAGCGTCCCTGTGGCACATCAACCAGATCATCAGTGTACCCCGTCTTTGTCCAAACTCATGGGTTCCCTTCGGTCGAATTACGCAGTTCTTGTCACGTAATGCCCTTTCATAAAAGTATGCGTATCAATAGCTTGAACATTTGATGTCTAGCGTTCCCCCAGATACATGCTATTGGAATTTCACATCTGAGATTCATCACACTGAATGTCAGCTGCACCGTGCCTTGCCACCGGGTCTTCGAAGTCGTTGTAGCTGGAGTACATGATGAGCGAGCCGAACCCCACCGACAGCGAGAAGAAGGACTGCGTCACCGCCGCGTACCACACCTGCAACGGCAGCGGCGCTCAGACCTCTCCAGGCTGCACCGACTGGGTTCACACTTACGCGTATTAGCAAGGCAACAGTTATCCGCAAAGAAATGCAATGCAAAGCCGTGTGATGCAACAGTCTGCAGTGCAATGATGTACATAAAATGACTTGCTTACATCGGCAGCTGTTCACTGAATTGGATTTTGTCGTCACGTTCCCTGAGTTTTCGGGACTGGAGCAGGTAATACTTATAGCACAGCCCTCAAATGCGGCTAACCGTGTATGTCGGGATAGTCCCGGAGGACCGTGACAATATGTCAATCGATTCCACCGCAAAATACTGGGCTTATAGTCCAGTACTTTCCATGTACGATCAGCGCGATCTATGCAGTCTAAAAGGCAAGCGTTGAACAAACTATGCGCTATGGTGGCCCAGCAGATAGGCCTCGGATATAGCGATATTTTAACGGATCGAGTCAGTACACATTTTGGCGTGCGGCCGGCAGTCCGACGGTCGCGAGCTGAGACCGAGCGCGTGACGTCACCAGTGGCCGACCGACACCAGGCATGACCAGGGCACCAGACCCATCGCATTTCCTACACCTTGCTGTTCTCACAGTCCGTCGTCACTTACGTCAGCATTGAGTAGCTGCTCCCATTGGGGGGTGATGTAGAACAAGATTCCATCCACGGCGCCGGGCAGTGTGACGCCTCGTATCAGTAGCGTGAAGAGAACCACGTACGGGAAGATAGCTGCCAGACATCCACGGAAGCGGGAGTCAGCGCACTAGTGCTGCGCAGGGGTGCATCGCGCGGCTGCCTCGCCTGACACAGCACGACTGCCTCGCCCGACACAGCAGGACTGCCTCGCCAGACACAGCGTGGCTGCCTCGCCAGACACAGCACGACTGCCTCGCCCGACACAGCACGACTGCCTCGCCAGACACAGCGTGGCTGCCTCGCCAGACACAGCACGACTGCCTCACCCGACACAGCACGACTGCCTCGCCCGACACAGCACGACTGCTTCGCCCGACACAGCACGACTGCCTCGCCCGACACAGCAGGACTGCCTCGCCCGATACAGCATGGCTGCCTCACCCGACACAGCATGACTGCCTCGCCCGACACAGCACGTCTGCCTCGCTATACACAGCACGACTGCCTCGCCCAACACAGCATGGCTGCCTTACCCGACACAGCATGGCTGCCTCGCCCGACACCGCACGGCTGCTTTGCCCGACACAGCATGGCTGCATAGCCTGGCACAGCATGGCTGCATAGCCCGGCACAGCATGGCTGCATCGCCCGACACAGCACGACTGCCTCGCCCGACGCAGCATTGCTGCACCGTAGCATTGCCGCGACGAAGCGCGGATGGAGCGTTTAAGAGTGACGTCATGGCGGGGTTATGAGGCAGAACGTGACTGAATTCGCATAAACGGAACATGCATGGGGTGATGGGAACTAGAAAATGGGTACCATTGAAATCAGCCGATCAATATTTATCAGCATCGCAGAAATAACGCAGAATATCGTAAGTGCTATGCTAGGTGTGGTGTGAGATGAACGAAGTGATGGCACACTTTGTTGATGGCGTCTTCATAAAAAGAAACCTAAGCAAATGTAGCTTGCCATGTTTTGGAACCAATGTAAGAACGTTTCGTCAATGTTTTGGAATTTCCCTTTTTGAATTTATTTACTTATGTACAGCGCTCGCAAGCCAATTCCCAAACAGCAATTATTAAGATTCGGGTTACTATTGGCCTACCGCAAGCAAATTCAGACGAATAAGTGGCTGGTGAGACTGGAAGGGTTTCCGTTTACAGTGACTGTGATAAAAAATCGCAAAAGCGCAATGTTTGATGGGCGCTAGTAATAAAGAACTGAACTTTACGCCTGCCTAGCTGCCTTAGAACTTTACGCCTGTCATGTTCACTTATGAACAACGTTCGCAAGCCAATGCCCAAACAGGCGATGATTGTGATTTGGGTTACAATTGGCTTACCGCAAGCAAATTGAGACGACTGACTGAGCCGCATGAGCATGAAGGTCAGTTGAGCTATAACCATTTATTAAGAAGTTTAGCAGAAAACCTACGGTGATGCATGAAAAACCGGCACAAAAATAATTTGATCACCTTTTATAATGTTCCCAGCGTCCCTGCACCGGACATCCCAAAGTATTTTCTATAAATTACGTTTGCTGGGACGCAGGCTGCCTATGCATCGCAGTCCGTCTTGCAATGCTTTTTGGATTTAGAGGTAAAAATTGCAATCCGAAATGACGAAGTTCGTGAGGCTCAGGGTGTTTGAGGTGGTGCGTGTCGGCTCCTTTCTTTGGCTTTGAGCTCTCCACGGAAATGATCCTAAGTTGTTAAGAGCGAAGCATGTAGACGAAATATCACATCTATCTCTCAGTTCTCCTGTTCATTCCACGACGTATGAGGAATGACATTAAGTTCATGTAGAGAGCCAGAGCACTGACACTGCAGTAGACCCCTCCGTATTGTGTATAACCACGTTACCTGTATTCAGGATATGTGGGAGGCAAAACTGATGTGTGGGTGGCATTGCTTCATTTCCCGTGTTCTGCACCTACGCATATACCTCCCATCAACCCGTGTCCTACACCTACAACACCTGTGACGTTTTGTGCAATCGTCAATATGGGAGCTTAGGTCTCTTTCAAGTCCATTTCAGGCGATTACGACTAAAACGAATTATTTTACCGATTCGTTAAAAATCTCGTTACAGCTCGTTTCAGTCCGTTCCCAGTGTGTCGAAGACGGTCCAGCACTGGGTAAAATAAAATCCGAAATTTGGACGTTTGGTGATAACTGGAGAATTACTCATCATCCAACGAAACAAAATCCCAGAGCAGTGTCTGGGTGATGATCTAAATGCTGGCTGGGTCATGTTAGCCGCAGTTCAAATAGCTCAGGGTCAACGACACCATCAGTAGGAAACCTACATTGGTGGCCATCTCAGACAACAGTACTGAATAACAAAATTATCAAAATTTCTAGTCAGGTGACGATAAACAACCGGGGAAAACATGCCATGTTGCCATGTTTTACCACGTAAAACATGGCGAGCTTGTAACGTAAGTGTTCCAGTTGGGAGTCGGACGAAATCAACATGAGCCACGGTCAATGGCATATGAAGTAAATGGTAAACTGGGCACGTTGAGGGGTCTAAATCCCTGGCGCAGCTCATTCTGATAACGAGTGATGTTTCCCAGATGTCAACGCACACGTCTGGAGACGTAAACGTACGTCGTGTTCCGGATCCTTCACATATTGTCCATGCCCGTCGTGTCTTTCCCGGAACGGCAGCGCCAGTTTCCGGCCGCTAAGAATTCAAACGGAAGTATTGCATCAAAATGCCTCTTTAATCATTCAAGTAGCTCGTCAAAACACTTGTAAATCTACTGTTGCAAAAGGCAAGAACTTTTCTTGATGACTAGCGGCGCCCGGCTGCCCGCACTTTTGTAAGTGTTACCGAAGCAGGATATAAGCATTAATTAGCGGGATTCAGTAAGTAGTGGGTTTAGTGTATGCATCGATCTGCACAAGTATTATCAAAACAGTATATAAGCATGGTTAAGTGTGATTATATTAGTGACGAGTTTAGTGCATGTGTCGATCGCACAACTTTATTTTGGGACAATGTTACACATGCCAACGCAATGGGTACCGTTGTGTCATGTGTCATGTGTGTCATGTGTCATGCCAACGCAATGTGTACCGTTGAGACCATCTAGTAAAATGCACCTGCCTTACCTGTGAAATATGCTACTTTGCCCGAGCTTTGCACGCCCTTGGCCAACGTGAGGAAGAGCACCACCCAGGAGAAGAGAAGACAGAGCGTCAGGCGCCACTCGGGTACTCCGATCCCGTTGTCGATGTTTGGAAGCTCCTGAAGTACGTTGAGTCTGACGACAGAGACAATGTGCGCTTGATTATGCACTTCACGGATAAGGATTTACAAGCGTCATGCTTAATGCTATCTTCTGTGACATATTTCTTATCAAGTCAGGCAAGATCCATACCCACCCATTGCACAGAGCCTGCACCTCAAAGATAATTGATTGGTTCAAATGGGCACTCGCGACATTTGACCCACTGGTGCGATTGTTTTTCTCCGCGGAAAGCGAGCTAGCTGTCATTGAAAACGTGACTGACGGTGGGAGATTATGGTGAAGATGCATCTGTGATTCTGCAGATCACGGGTGTCTGACACTTGGCGAAGTCATCTCACATTAACGCGAGACGGCACACGGCAGACCGCACCCTAGCGATAGGGTAACCAGCGTGAGAGAGAGAGAGAGAGAGAGAGAGAGAGAGAGAGAGAGAGAGAGAGAGAGAGAGAGAGAGAGAGAGAGAGAGAGAGAGGGAGAGAGAGGGGAAGGGAAAGAGAGGGAGAGAGAGAGTGAGGGAGAAAGAAAGAGAAGATAAAGATAGATAAAAGTTTTTGCACACACACACACACACATACGTGTAATATATATATATATATATATATATATATATATATATATATATATATATATATATATATATATATATATGTATTTATTTATATATTTATATTTATATTTATATTCATATTTGTATATGTATATATAATATCTCTCTCTCTCCCTCTCTCTCTCTCTCTCTCTCTCTCTCTCTCACTCTCTCTCTCTCTCTCTCTCTCTCTCTCTCTCTCTCTCTAAAACCTCAGCCAAAATAAACCAATTCGGCAAGCAGATGCTCAAAATGTTTATAATATAATCTTTCTCCCCTTGTGGTAGGCGTCACCTCCCACCAGCGTCACGTGCGCTCATGTCTGAAGGTATTTTGCCACCAACTGCCTTCTGGCAGCGACCCAATAACCGCTGTTGGCCCTAGGGCAACCCACCACTGATGGCTGTTTACTCTTGTGCCGCCCAGCCTCATCCATCACCACAGGACGTGTTTCATATCCCAGTGACCATTTTGACAGGCGTTTTCAGCCCATTTGTGCAGGAATTTACCTAGTAAATAATTTACGAAATGCAGATTGCCATATGTTGTACAGGAGGATATACGTCTCATAAAATAGATGCTTCCACATGCTACTAAAGTGGACGCCGCTGTTTTACAGCACGGGTGTAACTCATCAGGCCTGTGTGTGACATTTAACCACTTTATGGTTGCTTTTATGACGTGTCTTGAGTGTTGTTTTAATCGTTAACTTTGCTCTACCCCAAAGCCCTAATATAGTTACAGAGTGAGATTTTGCGGGAAGACCAACTCCACTTTTCGCCAATTTCTCATTTAAGTTTCCTGACTCGCTATGGTTTGTTTTAGGGGAGAAACTTCACAAACTCTCAGTGGGCTGGAAAATTACCGCCACTAACCCCGCTACTTTGAAACAGATTGGCCCAAGAAAGTGAAATATACGCACCAAAGCAAGCATCGGTGAGCGCACGCACTTGCGCCACCCAAATCCATATCCATGCCTGCATGTACACAAGCGCACGGTATGTCACCGTGCACCAGACGAGGAATTCTTATCACTTTCGTTGTTGTTCATTATTTCTCGTCGGGTTTTCTTTGACACTTAGTCTCATGTGACAGCTCTCTATTCTGTTAATCATTGGCACCACTAGGATTGTCTTTAGAGTCTGTCAGAGTCCATGCAACCGGCTGTAATCGTAATGGACATTAATGTGATCGCCGCAATTTCACGTAAATTTGTGCCTCGTCTCAGTGACTGACGGGAAGCGACATACCCAATCCTGGTTCCAAGATGATTTGGGTTTTGGGGCGCGCCGACTGCCCCGGTCATATGAAGTCATTTGATCCTGGCTCAAAAAGCGACAACGTTTAGCAGTCATGTTGACAGGCGTGTTTTAGTCACGTCTCTGCCAGGGGCGGAGGTTGGACCTGCGACCAACGAGCGGCTTGACCTGATCTAGCGCCGGAGACGCGGTCCTTGAGCGGCGGTTCCGCTGCCGGCGTTGGCTGCCGGACTATGCGCCCAGCCGCCCACCGAGCGGCGTCGGCCGGAGCGTTGCCATGGCGACCGCCGCTGACAAGGCCGCGTGGCGCTCCTGTGTTGCAGAACCAGGCCAGTCAGCCAGGAGCTGACCATTGTCTGATGCTGGCGCTGGTTGCACGATCGAACCAAGTTTACAAACGTATAGAATGCAGTCATCATGGAGCAGATGGCGCAAGCTGTGGCCTCTGAATCCCGCCGCGCTATGGGGTTTTGCGGACAGATTGCTTCGCGTGCGGTGATCGATAAGGCTCAAACAGCGACAGTTGACAGTCCGCCACAGGTCGCCGAACTGGAATGTGATCCACTTCACAGCTGCGTCGCGCCGTCCGTCATGGCTGCCAGACCCACGAGAGGTAGAGAGGTGCTGTGGAGGTAGCTGGCTGAATCACCGCAATCACTTTTTTGCCGGAAATCACACGTCGGAGACAACATTGAGCCGAACTGTAGGAACAGCTATGAGTCAGGATACTGCCTTTACACTATGAGATGTAAGTGCAAATGCACCTAAAACATTCCAATGTCGCCTTTGTTTGCATCCCAAAGGTCTTGAAAGGCTGCAAGACAAGAGCTGCTGAACAGTTGATTTCCTCGCAAATCGCTTTCAGCCCCATGTACGCCCGGACTACCTTCCGAGGGTCAGAGCTGAATAAACCGTCGCCAACCTCACGTTACGGCAGCTCCGCTGTAGAGGATGGCGCGGTCCAGAATGTTTTCCGCGCGCGTTGGTGACGTCACAGTGTACTGCTTCACACTCAGCGACAGTCTATAAATTTGACGGCGTGTCTCAGTACCCGGCCTCTAAATCTCGAGTATGTTAAAGTCACCCACGATGAGAAACGGGCAGACTGGCGGAGAAGATATTCGGCAAGAAGGCAGCGATCGAATCTACGTTACGGTCAGGATCTGACACACGGCAGCAGACAGCCATGATGGCAGGGAAGATGGTCCCCAACTGGATCGCCAGCACCTCGCAGCCGGGCCACAGGTCTCATCGGTGAGCAGGGGACGGGCTTGTCTTCACTGCGCAGGCAATGCTTCCCGCTCTGCTGCTCCTGTCCTTCCGGAACCAGACGTGGCCTGAGAGGCCCAGCTGTAGCTTAGAATTTAGCACGCATGGTCAGAGCCATGTCTCGGTCAGGCCGACAACACCGCAGCCAGCCCGTTCACCACCATGAGAGCGCTGAGTGCATAACTTGTTCTTCAGACTGCAGACGTTCTTCAAAACACTCGTATCGCTCTCCGTGTGCTGGTGCTGGCCTCACATCTATATCTCCAGAGAGAAGGAAACTTGCCAGAAGCCAGCAGCGCCAGGTGGGTGTGATGGGCTTTCGCCGATGCTGCATGACAGACGGGAACAAACCACTGGGTCCGAGCTCTCGCACAGAGGCAGCGGTGCCAACAGCTTCTGATTCTTGTCTCGTGTCATCGCAGAGGCCATCATGTGCCAGAAATACGATGGCAAATAGCAGGGCTAAAATTTAAGCTCCCGGTGGGACTTGAACATGCGACCGCCCAGTAACTGCACACCATTGGGGAAGAGCGCGTGGGGGCAGATATCCTATATCCGCCGCCACCAGTCCGCAACATGCTTCTGAGGCCCCAGGCGTGCCCGGGCTTTGCGCCCTCTCACTGTTTTCAGGCGGGCCCTGGCGACCGTGACAGCGCCGGCAGCACCCTTCGCAACACTCACCGAAGCTAAGGCCTATCGTCGGAAGCGTACCGTATCTACTCCTACAGCTTCAAAAGGAAGTTAAGTGCGTACAAATCAAGCTGTGCACTTCATCGTTGGTCGCTGGTCAAGAAACTTCTTCTGTGCTTGACAAATTTCCTAGCTATTGAAAAACGCAGTTGGAAAGCTTCTTCGGGTATCAATTTCTTCCAATACCATGACGTTTATAACCAAACTGGCACAACATCCGAAGCTGGAGCTGAGTGAATAATGCAAGACAGCACTTTCAGAACTGGGAATTTAGCGTTTCGTTTTAAAATGTTTTCAAGGCGGTGCGAACAGCAATTATAATGACAGACCTGAATGAAACCTGACTGATGAAGGACGTAAAGCGCTTGTAATGACGCGTTAGTCAAATAAAGCAATACTGTAGCGATAATTGGCCTGCGGTCTGGAAAATTGAGCAAATACACCACAGTGCATAGTTCATTTCAAGGATCACGAGAAAACCCCAGAACCTCGCTGATTCTCCGTTAAATTGCATAAGCTTCTACAAACAGCACATAGCTGATTTATCAAAAACTAGAAAAGTGTAAATTTACCAAGCGGGAGGCAATGCAGGGCAAACGTTGGCCACCCAACGAGACTTTACAGAGCAGAGTCACGACATCCCTCAGCAGTGCGCAAGGTGGTGTCGCGCCCGCACAGCGGCGCGTGCACTCACTGGAAGTACATCTCGGTGGCGCCCATTGGCTCGCTGCCGTTGAGCAGCGACACGTTGGTGCTGGGGTCGACGCAGCGTGTCATGTCGGCCCAACTCGGGTCACACTGCGTCCAGGGCAGCACCGTGGCGAACGAAGCGAAGAAGTAGAACACGGTCAGCGCCATCAGCGCCACGTAGTAGGAGACCACGGCCGAGGTGGCGATCATCTGGCCGTATCCCACACCTGGTGGACAGAGGTGGTGTTGCACAGACACTGTCGATGCACGGAGGCAGTGTTATATAGACACTGTCGGTGGACAGAGGCGGTGCTGTACAGACACTGCCGGTGGACGGACACTGTCAGTGGACAGAGGCAGTGTTGTACGGGCACAGCCGGTGGACAGAGGCAGTACTGTACAGACACTGCCGGTGGACAGACACTGTCGGCGGACAGAGGCGGTGCTGTTCGAGAGCCGGTTCTGCACACACCCGCGGCTTAGAGGGACGGTGCAGTGCAAAGATACGTAAATTCCCTTTAAAACGAATTGGACTCATTCCTAAATCCCTTTAAGTAAACGGCATGCCCACGCCAAACCTCAAATATGGTCGGTTGAATGGATTGCGGGAGCGAATGCAATACGTCCGCGATCTGTTGAACCCGTAACAATACACAATCAAATAAAAAGGTTGAGGCGATGTGATTCTTTCGTGATGTTGCCTATGCTGATTCATTGCCTATCTCATAGCTGGCATTTTTCCTGTTCGGCTGCGACGCCTGAAAGGCAGCACTATCAGAGCGGAGTGTCAGACCATCGGCCCCTGTAGTCGGCACGAGCACAGGGAGTGAAAGTGAAAACGGACCATGGTTCGGTTTCTGAACCTGCTACGCGTTCTGCAGCTGAGCCTTGTACGAGGTTAACTGGAACTGAGCACGGACAGCTGAGATGAAGGTACGAAAAAAGATAATCAATTAGTTGATACCAAGGATCAGGTACAAATGGCTGGCAAATCTCACAGATCTTAACAAGTCTCGCCAACAAAATCAACACAACTATTGGCAAGCACATTCGTATGAGCTTTAGGTAACTGAGACCGTGATGTTACTGCCAGCACAACCCCAGCGCTGGCAGGCGTGTTGCGCGCGCGGGCAGAGGGCCAGCTGGCGCCCAGCATAGACCTCCAGATGCGGTCGCTCCATAAACAGACGGGTGGACAGCGGACCACTGCATTCCGTTTACCCGGGCAGAAAAGAGACCAGCGCTGGACGTATGCCGCCGGGCCAGTCTGTTTGCCATGGTCGATACGTGGCGGCCGGCTGGGGAGGGTGGCGGTCGGCCGGGGAGGGTGGCCGGCGGCCAGCTCGCGCCAGCTCGCGGACGGTCCGCCGGCCCCCGGTGGCCGTCCGCCGGCCGCCTCTGTTCGGCTTTTTGTACCGGCTGCCTCCGTTCCGCCCCCCCCCCCCCCCGCCCCTTCCCGTGCCGGCTGCCCCCCCCCCCTCCCCGATTACGCCAGTCCCGGCTTCGCTAGCCCGTCTCTCCGTTCCGGTTCCCCCGTTCGGACTTTCCAGTCCTGGCTCTCCCGTGCTGGGTGCCCACCCCGGCTCACTCGGCTCTCCGGCTCCCCCGACTCCCCCGGCTCGCCCGGCTTCCCCGGCTCCCCACTCCGGCTATTCCGTGCCGAGTGCCCACCCCGGCTCCCCGACAGCCCTGCTCCCTAGCTCCGGCTGTGTCGCCCCGACTCAGCGGACTCCGGCTCCCGCCGCCAGCTGAGAAAGGCCTGAGTGGGTGGGGAATAATCCGCGTCGCGATTATTGCATTCCTAGCGACTGATCACGGCCAGAGAGCGGCGATCCGGAACCCAGAGCCGCAATAACAGAGCAGTGGCATACGATAATGCTCGCAAAAAGCTCCCGAACCCTCGGCGGCTCCGCCCGCGCCAGAGGGCAGGCCGAGAGGAATCTATTAAGCAGGGCAGCGATATTAGAGCAGCACTGTTCAGTACGGTACATGCCAGAAACTCATCACGCCCTTGCCTTTGCCAAACCAAAATGTTCTGAACAATGAAAATGTTCCCAAATGTTCACCGAGCCAGAGGACACGCGGTCAAGAGATGCGTCACCGAGCCAGGGGACCCGGCTAAGAGATGTGTCACCGAGCCAGAGGACACGCGGTCAAAAGATGCATCTCCGAGCCAGGGGACCCGGCTGGGAGATGTGTCACCGAGCCAGAGGACACGCGGTCAAGAGATGCGTCACCGAGCAAGGAGACCCGGCTAAGAGATGCGTCACCAAGCCAGGGGACCCGGCCAAGAGATGTGTCCACAGATCAGCTTGGCAACGCGGGCACTACAGGCATGAATAAATGACCACTTTGAACTCCTTCACATCATGCTGTCTGATCCACGTCCAAAATTATCTCACAGTCTGCATGGAATGGTTGCGAATGCTCTCTGTTGTCTTAACTTCATATACACAGGCCCAACACTAGAAGCGGTGGCGTGGAATATGTTATACGCGGGCCAAGTCCACCACGATGTGTTTACGTCATGGTGGCACCGGCAGAGCCGAACCAGTCTGAAGGTCAATGGGGGCGGTGGAGTGCCTGCAGTGCCCGGCATTCTTACTGCTCCCGGGGACGACTGACAGACCTGGCACAGACCTGGTGCAGAGTGACAGGCCTGGTACAGACCTGGTGCAGAGTGACAGGCCTGATACAGACCTGGTACGGACCTGGTGCAGAGTGACAGGCCTGATACAGACCTGGTACGGACCTGGTACAGACCTGGCACAGACCTGGTGCAGAGTGACAGGCCTGATACAGACCTGGTACGGACCTGGTACAGACCTGGCACAGACCTGGTGCAGAGTGACAGGCCTGATACAGACCTGGTACGGACCTGGTACAGACCTGGCACAGACCTGGTGCAGAGTGACAGGCCTGATACAGACCTGGCACAGACCTGGTGCAGAGTGACAGGCCTGATACAGACCTGGCACAGACCTGGTGCAGAGTGACAGGCCTGATACAGACCTGGTGCAGACCTGGTGCAGAGTGACAGGCCTGATACAGACCTGGTACGGACCTGGTGCAGAGTGACAGGCCTGATACAGACCTGGTACAGACCTGGCATAGACCTGGTGCAGAGTGACAGGCCTGATACAGACCTGGTACAGACCTGGTACAGAACTGGCACAGCCCGACAGACCTGATACAGACCTAGTGCAAACTGACGGACCTGGTACAAAACCCTGGCAAAAACCTGGTGCAGACTGACAGGCCTGGCACAGGCCTGGCACAGACCTACAGACGTGGCACAGACGCGGTACGGACTGACAGACCTGGTACAGAACCAACACAATACGACAGACCTGGTACAGGCCAGGTACAGACCGACAGACCTGTCACGGTCCAGACGCTCTGCGGGCCATCAGCTTCCGGGGACAGTCTGACTTAATGCGTCCAGACGGCATGCGGGTGCGGAGGTGGTCGGCCACGCCCCGACCACGCGATCTCTCACCTCTGACGGCGGGGACGACGCTCCACACGCGCACGCTGCCGTGGGCCGAGAACTGGCCCAAGGCCAGCTCCATGTAGTACAACGGCTTGCCTGGCAGCAAAGCACACACGCTAGATCATGTGTGGCTACAGCAATAAAACGAGGGCATTAATAACTGGTAATGGGGTTTATACTCGCTTCGCTAAACGTTGTTTCAGAAATGCGCTCGCGATTTTGCCTTCTAACACCTTGAAGTAATATAACAGACCTGCCAGTCAACCCACCTATCGTCAATAGGACGATCACGTAGGGTATCAGGAAGGCGCCACCGCCGTTCTTGTAGGCCGTGTATGGAAACCTCCAGACGTTCCCAAGGCCCACGGACATGGCGATGCAGGACAGCAGAAACTCGACTCGGTTTCCCCATCGTTGCCGTGGAGGTTCACCGTCATCCTGCCAAAGCAGAATCTGGTTAACAACCGAAATGACGACGAAATGGCATTTCCAAATGACAATCAGCATCTTTTGGTTCATGCAGCTTCCGATTAGTGTTATGTACCCGATAGATTTCAAGCCCCTTGGAAACCGAAACTTTTCGAAATCAACGAAATCAACTTTTGCACTAATGTCATTATGGAAACCACTCAGAATATTCACTCCAGTGAAACCAATTGTGTTGAGAGATGTTCACGCGTTGTGATCTGCAAGCTATTATAGCAACGGCGTGGTGAGCTCTGGCTCGTAGGCTGTGGTCTGTCGTGAGCCCCAGAGATTTGGGAACAAATCGGGACCGCACGAACAACTGATACGAAGTGGGGATTGTCACTGGGTGACGCAAAAACGCGTCTTTGACGATCACTTCCGAAGGGCGAAAAACTTGGTCCAACTGGGGACATCTGCTTGGTCGGGCCGCCCGTAGACATACCCGTGATGTCCCCAGAAGGTTTAACTCACAGCAAGGGCGTCATCTGTCTGGGCGTTTGCCTCCTCTGCCGGTAGCCCTCCGGCCGCCGGCTTCGTTTGGTCCGGTCCCGACAGCGGTAGCTGAAGACAAGCAGTGTCCTGTAAGTTTGTGATGACGGGCCAACGAAGTGCACCTGACTCTTTTCCCTTTCATGCCGATGAGCTATTCTTGCAATGTCAGGGACAAAAGTGTCTTCAATGGTATCTTATCCGGCTACCCTTCCACATAATACCCAGCTCGTCAGAAAGTTGGATGGTGTCGTCACACCTGCTTTGGCAGATGCTACCGGCTGCACTTACATGCAGCTACATGTGAAAACTGTGGTTGATGGTGCCCAAAATATTGCCATTCTCACTAGGCCGGCGGAATATTTTATACACCTTTTGGTGCACTTCGCATCGAGGATGCTGGTCGTTGTCAAGACTTAAATGAAAATATGGGCTGGGGATGTCCCTGATGTCAAAGAAACTATAGAGAGGCTTGGTTCCAGAAAGTGTAGCCTGCTCCTGGGTGTCCACGCGATACGGTGACGCATCCCTTCGTAAAAGGACGACTCTCGACGTTCAGGCTACTAGACATAAACATACCAGTTAAGAACTCATAAAGCCCGATGTGACCCACGCTCAGTTTAAAGTACCAGCAGACAGATTCGTCTTAAAAAGAGCATTCCACATTTGTATGAAATTTTGAACTGGGATAGCCATTTAAAGATCTATTGGGGGATGAACCCGAGAAATATTTAGCGCCGTCCGTCCTTTGTAAGCTTTAAAATCCTTCGGTTTCTCAGCTTATAAAAACGTCGCGTGAATGCTTTGACACCATAGAAACGTTCTGCGAATACTGCTACCTATTGGCCACGTACAGCTCAAGGCCACGAAAATATTATCATTGTACTATTTGTGTCTGGCGTACTCAGGCAACGCGTTTTGCGTTTCATGCAAGCTTTGAGCGCAAATCACGTTACATTCCATGCAGTACAGAAACTTGGACATTGGTGCGAGTTGCGACGGAAATAAAACTGGGAACCAGATAACTTGAACAGAGGGTTTCACATTTGTAGGGGGGTTTGAACTAAAATAACATGCATATGGGGGTTTGAACAAGTAAACGATATAAAATCACGGACATTTATGCAGAAGCACCACGAGAAAGGGAAAAACAGGCACACGTAACGATATTTGCGTTCTGCAAACAGCGCAACGATTATTACGACACCTCCCGATAAGTTTGAGTACCACAAGTGAGTCAGTCCATCCGCTACAGTGGCAATTCTGACATGGCCAATCTGGCAGCGACTGACGTCATAAAGACGTTTCATGACACAATAAGAAATGACATATTAAGGATCATATATAGTACAAAGTGAATTGTGTGGTCTAGAGCAGTCTTGTAATTCAAAACAAACCTTTAGTTACCAGTGAGCTCATTTCATCACATTTGATGCTTGTTTGCCTTTTGAAATGTGAAACACTATTTTCGACCGCTTACGAACATCGGGGCTATATGGCAACGAATGATGCACGTGCTCGTTCCTTTCTATGCAATAAGGAGCCTTTCCTCACATAGAAGATGCCGCCGACTAATGCCATCCCACAGCTGCACGTGTTCCGAGCTAATCTCCGGATGATGCCATGGAAGGCAGCGGACCAATGAGACCTTCCCCACCTCCTTCCCCCCCCCCCCCCCCTCCCGATGAAGATGACATCAACTAGAGTTAGAGACATTGCCAACTTCGGTTGGAGCGTCGAGGTCTCCACCATCATACTGGCCGTCTCAACAGCGCCAGTTACCCCCGAGGTGCTGCTGGGTGTAGTGACCTGCACCTGCTCTGCGAAAGGCAAGGCAAGTAGCGCTGCCCGCTGCAGTTGCAACAGCAACAGCGCAGGCCTTTGGCGTCAAGACTACTGTAAGTGCGAGGAAGAAATTGCGTGCTACGGTCGTTGTACCAGCGAGCAGATGAACATCAAAGAGAATGAAGGGAAGCTGGGTGTACATAGTGACGATGACTGCGAAAAGCAAAATTGGCACGCATTCAAGATAGCGACGGCCGCGTTCTTGAATTATAAATTCTGAGAAATAATTAACTGAGGATAAACAAACCAGATTAATTTGGCCATCCTTAATATACAGAGCGTATTTCCTTGAAAAGTTTGCCGAGGTTCACATTGCAGGACCAGCATTTTTGCCCCTTAACTATAGAGGGCCCTTCAATATAAATGTCATTCTGGGTCACGTTAACTAAATGTCCAATAGGGTGACGATGTAGCCATCACGTAAAGAGGCGATTCATGCACTGCCCAAGCAAACTGGTCATAAAACGGATGTTGTGTTTTGCAGTGAGGCCGAAGCCATATTTCAACTCTAAGGAGAGCCGAGCATATGACAATATATGAAATAGGTTATACAATAATGAGCTTGGCAAGTCTAAAAAGTTACCATATCACATGTCCGCACCTTAGTAATACGATAGGCGCCGGCATTTTTGACGGCGAAGCAGTCCAAATCTTATATGGCCTTGGTCCAAATATTTCAGCCTGATCTGATCGGAGGAGGTACTACTCACTTAAGCGCACATACCCGCGCGTCTATGTTGTAGCATCCAGCTTGATTTAGCTATTTTAGTTTCATCCCGTCGTGGTATTATGATGAGCCCGATTGAACATGTCACTTGGTAGTACTCTAAAGCAAAACTCGTGACCATTGGGCCCACCTGTGACGCCATCAGTGGCATGCAATTTCAGCAAACTTGTGCAGGCAGCCAACAAACTTATATATGTGACGGTCGCAAGATCCAGGGATGTCTTATTACGTCCGATTCACTCCGATCAGGTTATTGGTTCTGGAGACATTCAAGGTGGTTTTGACTCCCTCCACGAGCGACCGGAAGATGGCAAACGTGCCAACTGCACGGAGCTTACGGGTGTTTTACACAATTGTTCACCTAAATTCCACCAGGCCCTACAATGGGTTTTAAAAGTTCCACCTTAAACCGTACCCTTACGGCCCAAATTATCGACCGCATTAGAACGCTGGTCCTAGGGGGAGGGGGCACTCGAGCTACGTTAGAAGGGAAACCCCATGATATCTTTTGATTCTGGGAGCCGCTGTCGACTTTAACTGTTAAAAAGAACCAAACAGTTGATCTGGCCTTTAGCTTGCAGCCCCTCTTCAGACGTTGTAATCATGAAAACATTAAAACGTTATGGCTATACAATGGGCTGATGGCACAACGTCTCCGATGATAAATTTTGGGCACTTTGCTTCCAAATGGCGCAACCTATAGAATCTTAATATCATTCTTGATATTTGCTGCAATTGTATGCAAAACTGTGCAATACTAAGCTTTTTTGTTGCCATGGAGTCGTTAGCCCATTTTCTGAACATTTACGCGTAGGCATATGTTAATAATGCGTTCCGCATCCGCACGGATGAGCTGGGACTTCTGATACACTGCTTCTCATGTAATGAAGTATTTTTCCCTGAACAACTTTAATTTGCCCCAAACGTAGATATTTGACATCAGATGACACGGAAGTGACACCAGATGTAATTCAAGCTGCTCGCTCAGTAGCTTATGGCTATAGGAAACGGATTTCCACCATGCCAGGCACAGCTTGACAGCAATACTTTTCTTAGATAAGAAACCATGTTCGGGGCCTCAGGTCATCGCAGTAAGATGTGCGAAGTGATCGCTGTTATGCAATATTTTAAACCCTCGAAGTATTGGAGACGTGTGCTCACTTGTTTTCTTGAAAGCACTCATTGCACGGGTGGAGCTTTCACGTCATTTTGGAGACATCGCGCTCCATCCTCCAGTGATCGCTTCGGCGCGATCCATATAACACTAATACCACCCAAAACGTCGGAGACACAAAGCGTACAAATGCCTGCACGTTCTCTAGGACGCATGGTCTTTATTTTGTAGTCCCTCAGTGGTTTCGCTGGTCCCCGTTTGTGGACGAGTTTCTTGCGCCTGCGCCGGACCAGGCACCAGCAGCAGGCGCTCCGGGTGTCATGTAATAGGCTGGATGCGAAAACGGCCACATCACGGGTGAGGTAGAGGTCGGTTCCGCCGACCAGCGGGTCCAGTAAACCCTCGCTCTGTCTCGCCCTTTTTCATCACCAGGACTGATAGGGGGGAGGGTAGATGCCAGCCCTGCCACTTCGAAACTCGGGAAAAGACAGCCTTGCGGACTACAACAGTGGATTGGTCTTAACGGGGTTTCATGATTGGTAATAAGTTGCACGTTGCTACGTCATTAATTGAAACCGTCATGCCAGGTCAAATGTACATTTCCCCCTAAAAATACACTATTTCAGCTAAACACGTCCATATTCATGAAACCATGCTAAGTAGCAACATACCTCCTCCAACTCACTCAACCACGGGTGGGTGGATCGGAAGGCATGCGCTCTAACCGACTGAGCTAACGAGAAGGACGACCTCACACGTGTAATGGACACGCTAATGACCTACGGCAAACAGTGTGCGGATGTTGCATCGATTAGCAGACTACAGTGGTAGATGAGTGACCGCAGATGACGTCACCGGAGCCTGATAAGTTGACCGAGCTGAAGGTGGCAGCGCTCTTTGGCATGCGTAGTAGATTTTTACGTAGATCTCTAGAGGTAGTGGATACCGAGATGGTGGACACGCGGTAGATGTAGTCTCCCAGCGGCTGGAGAGATTTGTGTCCGCTGACTCTCTGGGTGTGTTTTGTTTTATTTGTTTCACTTGTTCATTTGTTTTGTCACATAGATCTGAGTTGTATAGATCTAACTTACTCATAACGGCACATGATATAACATAAAATTACATACAAACAATAACATGGACATGTTACTGATGCCATTACGCGTCTACTGGTAGTAGTTATGGATTACATTGCAGCCACTAAGTTATTACTGCAACTCTGCAATTGCTGGAATATTCCCACGCCGCTAATTCTCGTGTATCACAGCCGCTTCTGGCTCGTGTGACTGCCGTTTAGAATATTATCCAGCTCATCATCGTTAAACAAGTTGAGTCTGAACCTGTCCCCAGCATGTAATGACAGGTGAACTCCGTTACCACTGTGAGTGAAATCAAAGCTTTCAGAGTTGGTTACAGCCGAGGAACGAGTAACCGAGTGACCGTGGTTACAGTAATCGTAGATCGAGTAACCCTGGTTAAGGCACAGCCTACAGCTGTTTGATTTTCCGGAAATTGCCTCCTGCGTTTGGTTGGCAACAGGCAACAGTGTTTGATAAACAAGTCATTGAAGTGGCCACGTGACCTTGGACAGCGGCGCAGACGCTAGCGGTAAAGTGCTGCCCGCCCTTAAAAATGCGACCTGCCAGGCAGCAGCATCTTATCCGCAGAACTATGTCCATGATTGCTGCATCGATCAGCGGGCAACAGTGGTAGCTTGTTGAACGCGGATGACGTCACTGACGCCCAATGAGGTGACCGAGACGAACGCTGTTCAGCAAAACGAAGCTGAGAGCGACAGTGGTCTGTAAGGTAATCTCAGGGCTTAGAGTTTCGAAAACTTTCCTCTTGTACAGATTACCGTTTTGATTTTTCAACCCGGGGTAAAACCTGACATAAATTTGCCAGTTGTGCTGGGCTTTACGTCATCCAGATAAGTTCTCCTGTTTTAAGTATAGAGCAGAAATGTCGGTGTTACACCTTTTGCAGGCTGTTTCGTACGATTTGGTTGAAATCTTTTCATAATCATATCTAGTTGATCATCTTCAAACTGCCGAAATCGGACCATATCCTCAGTATTCAAAGACACGCTTCTTCCCATTACCATAAGGCATGCAAGCATTACAGATGACTTCAGCATAACTTACAATCATTCGATTCAATAAGTTGAAGGTTATTCAGCGCAGTGTAAATTTGGGCCACGTCAATGTCTCAAGTCATGGCACAAGTAGCAGTGAACGTTTAACAATATCAAAAGTTTTTAAAGTTAGCCAATGTTTTATCCAAAAAGCGACAGTTTCAAAACTTTCAACACTGTAAAGAGGCCATTAACATTTGTCTCATGACAGTTTATAGCTATTCGATTTTCGAAGATCCGTCTCTTGTGTTCGTTTCGCAACGAACAACAGCGTTCGATAAAGCAGGCAATTCGTAGTCACGTGGTGTGGTCAGTTGTACAGACAACGGTGATAGATTGTTGCCTGTTCTTAACATGTCATCAGACATGGAACAGTGAAAAACAATGTGGAGACATCATGCCTCTGCTGAGTGTGAGGAGGGGTGCAGCGCTCACGACTGAGTTCTGGAAGGATCGAGGCACGATAGGCACGCGACGCCGACAATAACCTTAGCAACTTCCCTCTCGGCACGACAACGGGGACGGACACCGCTGATTTCTGGCAGTTTAGGTTATGTCAGACGCCGGAGCTAGATGATTGGGCGCGCGATTTAGGTGATATTTCGAATACGCTTCGATGTGGTTACTTGGGTTAGAGCCTTTTCGATCAGAAATGATAATTTCAGGTCAGTGAGATGAAGGAGAAGGGACAACGTTGAGGCAGAACTGCATGCGTCTGGGGGCCCACCGTCGAACCTTAGTCCTCACAGGGACCCGTCTGCGGGGTGCACGCTGGGGGCCCGGTCGGGGTCCCCCTCCAGGAGCCTCTCGGCCCGCTCGTGGCTGATGCATTCAGCCTGCATACATTTGAAGGTAATGAAGCAAGCATCAGATGTGATGAAATAAGCTTTCTTATAACTATTGGTTAACTTTTCAGTGGAAAATACTGATCTGGACAACATCATTTCCCGCCAAGAAACATGCTTCTTAATGCCTCATTGTTTGATTGCGTCATCGCGCCTTGCATAACACTGATTGAAAGCCAATTAGCGGTTGTTATACCTGAAAATCGTGCTCACGAACATCAGATATGAACGATTCGACGATTGTGGTCGTCTTGGCCTTGATCGTCGTATGGGTAACGCAATCGCAGGACTTCAACGACGTCATTAGGCGTCATGGATGTCTGGGTAGCCTTGAAATAACCTCCCGGAATAGTCTGCACATTTTCGCGGGTGTGTGACTCGGAAACTGGAGGCGCTTAGGCCCTATAAAGTGCAGGGCTGTGAAATACCCAGAATGATCTTAACAATGGCTATTTCATTTCAGAATCCCCACAAAATGTAGAACGCTCTTTAAGAAAAACAACGCGACTGAAAATGCCAATGGAAGTGGGAGTAATGCAGCCACAGGTGCATTAGTCCATACAGGACGATATTATGTACACAAACGCTCACCTTTTAAATTATCGCACCAATACCGAAACCACCACCTTGTGGGGCGTAGGAGCACCCCAAGTGAGTACCGGCCGTTACATGCAGTCACTTTTGCCCGGGCCCGCTGTCCGCTACATGTGCCGGGGGTGCAGTCTTTCAGTCAGCTGGGGGCCCCAGCTTCCCTCATCTCCCCCCCCCCCCCACCCTCAGCTTTGTGAAGATGTGGACCAAATCGTGGTATAAAACCGCTTTTGCGCATTTTCGTGGTAGGTTTGGCCATTTTCTGCTCAGCCTCTCCAGTTTACTTGGCGGGAACTGCATCCTGCTAGGTGCTATTATTTACCAAAGACAACCTGGCGAGACCTCCTTGCATGCACGATTGCAACGCGGTCCGTCACACCCGTCCGATCATCCGGGCCGTCACATTTCAGCACCATTCAACACCAACTGAAAAAGAACACATACGACCACATTCGCCGCTCGAATTGTCAGACGCACCAGTTTTGTCAGTCCACTGGTTCTGGTCAAGTATTGATCTAAATCAATGCTGATACGTGTCCAGTGGACATTTCTTCATCTACTTCAGCCTAATACATGGCGGTATCCGAAATCAATGGATGTGTGACGGTAGTGGAAAAACCCCTTAAAGGCAGTGTTCGACATTTGCATGGGGTTTTGAAGTGAACAAGCCATCTTGAAGATCATTCAGTGCAGCTTACAGCCCTGCGCTTTTTGAGGCCTAACTCACTGTAGTTTCAGAGCTGTTGATCCGCGAAGATGTGCAGACTATTTAAAGGAAACTGTTACAAGGTCACCCAGGCACCCACGACCCCATATTAATGGCATTCAAATCCTGCCATTGCATTGGTCATATAGCTTTCAAGGCCAAAAAATATAACTGTCGAGTCATTCTTATGTGGCGTTCGTAAGCACGATTTCCAGATACGACGACCGTCAACTGGCTGTCCATTAACGTTGTGTGGGGTAAGATGACGTAATCAAACAATAACGTATTGAGGAACACATTTACTAAACAGAGAAATGGTGTTGTCTAGAACGGTCTTTTCCATTTTAAAGTATATCAGAAACTCTAAGTGAACTAATTTCATCATACAAAATGATTGCTTTAATATCTTCAGATGTGAAACATTCCCTTTAAACTAAACGCCTGACGTGAGTGCATACCGGTTCTGATCTAAGGTGTCGATGATTAGACTAACATCTCGCTCAGCGCAGTATCGGTTTCGAGCCAACGTGTGGCGGGCACGTGGACTCACGTCCCCAGCATCGTTCTCGTGTGTCTTATGAGACGGCTAATTGGCAACCAGTCAAGAGAACCAGGCGCAAAAAGCGCAAAATCATGCAATGATATTGCATGGCACGCCACATTTTTTGAGAAAAGTACCTTGCATTGAAATTGCGTTATTGGACCAGGGCGTATGAACCGAAGTATATCTGGCAAGCTTCTCGTTCCTTATCCTTTCTCTGCAAACCGTTCCATAAAATTGCCACACAAGTACCGGATATACCGTATCTGAGCGCATTAGAAAACACCATCTACATTAAGAGCACTGGGATTTGAAAAAGCATGCGTACGCGGTCTAAATGTGCGCAGATGACTATACATACAAAAAGCATCGAGGGAAATCGACGTGCCAGACACATGTTGTTCAAGCTCGTGATGAACAAGCTGATTCAAGCGCACGAAGATCTGGGTGTTGCAAGATGCAAAGTACGTGAAATAGCTGAACATTCAGATTAATGTATACCGAGCGCCCCGAAACCGTGACATATGTACGGAAAGCAATTTGCTGTCGCCCTACGGTTTAAGTAAGGCGGTATCTATCGGAGCAGAGCATGGTCAGGGCGGGCAGAAAGCCGAGGTAGTCGTCCAAGCTGGCGTTGACCACACGCCAGCGAAGCCAGGGGACAGCGACGCCCCATGGTGTCAACCCAAGCACAGACCATTCCCGCCGCCCGTCCACCGGACCCACCTCCTCCACAACCATGGTCACTGCTCGCTGGCTGCTTGCGGCGCGCCTCCGTCGCACGGACCCCGTCGGAGCGTGCCAGCACACGGTCCGGGCTGTCAGCGCCCTGCGTCGGCCGCGTCGGCGCGTGGACTGCTCTGCGCCGCTGACGCCGGGCCAGCGCTGCACGCTCCGGCGTTGCGTCTCCCCCCTCCCCCTTCCCTCCCCCTCCTCCCACATCTCCCTGATGGTAGTGTCAGCGGCTGACGAAGCGGTCGCCGCCCATTCAGAGTGGCTGGCTAACGAGAGGATGGATGCCTCGCAATACGGGCGTGGTCTGCTGGGACATCCTTCTGCTGCGCTCTCCGCTTTCCGCGCTGTGCTCGCCACACCCTGCAAAACCTAACCATAGCGAGACTCTAAGGGCCACGCCAGTGCGCCTATTAAGCTCGGAAGCATTTGATTGCCGCGGCTGTGCTGCTCTTGTCTGATGGTTCTTGCAATCGCGTCGGGCATCTTGATTGCCCCAATCGTCCTTCATCCATGCTCTCTTCTTTCAAGGCAGTATTGTCTGGCGTCTCCTCTACGCGTCGGCTAAGCGTGCCTCTGTCAGACCCCTCTGAGAAGCCTTTGGAGCCTGGATTACTCTTGCAGCCTATTTTTAACTTTCTATTAGCTTGCAGAAAGTGCTTAACGACTTCCTTTGAATATCTCGTGCATTGATCAGGCTGATTCAGGGAATATGAGATACGCGTTGATGGACGCCCACGGCATATTTCATGGCGTTGACCTGGTCGCTGATAACGTCGCAGACTGCGTCAAAGGCTACAATTATTCAACACTTCTTCAAAGAAGTGGGCGCATGAAACTTCATCGCAACAAGGCGACCAAATGATACGAAAGTAATAAGTATGAACGTGCATCAAAACAGCGCTATATACACTATATATATATATATATATATATATATATATATATATATATATATATATATATATATATATGTGTGTGTGTGTGTGTGTGTGTGTGTGTGTGTGTGTGTGTGTGTGTGTGTGTGTGTGTGTGTGTGTGTGTGTGTGTGTGTGTCTGTGTGTGTGTGCCCATGCGCATTGAAAAAATGCGCCTGACAACAAAACAATGCGCCATACAAAGTGGCAATATTTGTGAGGACTTGCCATGAATCACTTTCGCGTGCTGGTTCTTTATTACTCCGGCATTGGTACGCAGCCTGAAAGCACGCAGCAAACCAGCATTCTCTTTTCCGAATTCGTCACATCTGTCACCTGCACTGTATGTGCTCATCCAGTAGCCGTGGCCTGTCAGGGTTCGTCGAAACCAAACCCCGAACCTTTTTCAGAGCCGAAGCCAGGGCTGTAATCTTGCCCAGCTTTGCGTCCGCTGGTGTCCTGGCTCTAACTTACTCATATTGTGCAATGTGCGTACAACCTTCCACGAAACAGGAGCAGGAGCGCGCGGAGCGTCAACTCAGATGGTTGGAGATTTCAAGTCTGTGCAAGAGCACCCACACCTTGCCTGGTGTTGGTGAACACCATTGTCTTTCTGTGTAAGAAACATTCATCTCTACTGACCTGGCCAGACCTTTCACGCGCTTCACTGATCTTCTTACTAAGGGCTTACTAGAAACTGCGCTAACGCGTTCAGTTTCGTCTCACATCGAACACAGGCCTGGCCTAATCCAACGTTACTCGCGCCATGTCGGGACCCCACAATGTGACTGCCGGCTGTCGTTGAAGTAAGCGGCTCGTAGGACCAGTCACTAATCACAGTGTGTCCCACTGCTATTTAAGGAATCACAACTCCGCCAAAATGAAGCGTCGCTTCTGGGTCAGTTCGTCAAAAACTGCCAAAGCAGCCGAATCAGTTGCGTGTCACATGCTTCTGCGACATAATCTACAAATACTCAGCGAACCTGAAATCCCAGGCCATGTCTCCGTTCTCCGAACTCCACCAGCAGTGTCTGGAATGTCGAACGAATGTGCCGGCCATCAATTGGCCCACCCCTCTGACCTGCTAACTGCAGAAATCCAGCTTTTGCCGCATTACAGCGTAAGGTTTCTGAATTGACCTCATTTGTAAGCCGAAGCGTACTGGAGCGCGAGGCCAATACTGGTGGTGGACTTCAGAAAACAAAGCGATGACAGGATTTCAGATTCACTGAGTCTTTGTAAATTGTGTTGCAGAAGCATGTGACATGCAATTGATTCGGCTGCTTTGGCGGTTTTTGATGCATTGACCCAGAAGCGACGCTTTGTTTTGGCGGAGTTGTGATTCCTTAAATAGCAGTGGGACACAATGTGATTAGTAACTGGTCCTACGAGCCGCTTACTTCAACGACAGCCGGCAGTCACATTGTGGGGTCCCGATATGGCGCGAGTAACGTTGCATAAGGCCAGGCCTGTGTTCGATACGAGGCGAAGCTGGATGCGTTAGCGACAGTTTGTAGTAAGCCTTAGCAGGAAGATCAGTGAATACGCGTGAAAGGTCTGGCTAGGGCAGCAGAGATGAACCGGTTATTGCATAGCGCACGTTGTTCACGCACGCAGTGGTGCAGACGGGGGAGGCAAGGGGGCACGTGCCCCCCCCCCCCCCTCTCCTCCTCTTGGTTTCGTCGGGCCGGAAGGGCCCCTCGGGACCAACGATTAAGATCCTGATTGTAGGGCTCGAAGGACCCAAAAGGCCAGCTAGAGTTCGTGCTTAGGGGCCCGGCCCGCAGGGCCGGGCACTTCAACACTAGCTAGAGGGCTACGGACTATATGTCGGTCAGACACCATCAGTACCGCACAGTCGGCTCCGCGTCAGCATGAGCCTGGAGGTCAATTTCCCAAGAAGGACAAAGCCGAGGTCAGCGATTTACATTGGTCGAGCTCCAGCATCTGTCAGGGGCACACAGTGCCTAACAGGGGGCCTTGTGTTGGTAAGGGGCCCCGAGCCGGTCGGAGGCAGCATTCGAGGAGGTCTGAAGAGACCCTCAAGGGCCTGCAGGAATCCACGATCAAGGGCCGGATTGGAAGGCTTAAGGGCACGAAGGGCTGATCGGAGCCCTTTTCAGGGTCTCCAGGGTCTGCAGGAACGGGCACTCAGATGACAATCGGATGGCGTTTTGCGCCGATTGAGGGCCCCTGAGTCGCCAGGGGCCTGTATATCAGCCAGGCACCATCAGTACCGCACTGCCGGCTCCGTGTCGGTGTGGACCTGAGGGTTCGCTTCCCAAGCAACGACAAATCACAGCCAGCGATTTATACTGGTCGGGGCCCCTGTATCTGTCAGGGGCCATAGTGCTGAAAAGGGGTCCTGTGTTGGCAACGGGCCAGATTCGACCAAGCGCAGTGTTCGGTGATGCTCGAAGAGTGACCCGGGGGCCCACTGAAACCAATGATCAAGAGCCAGATTGGAGGGCATGCGGACTGACTGTAGGTCACGTGTGGAGGGTATGCGGACTGACTGTAGGTCACGTGTGGAGGGTATGCGGCATGACCGTAGATCACGTGAAGGATCCCAGCCCGTAGGACCCGGACCTGAAATATCACTCAGAGGGCCCCTTGCACCGACTGAGGGCCTCTACGACAACGCGGTGTTTATGTCAGACAGAGACCACCGACGCCGATGTTAGCTTCATATCGTTTGAACTTCGGAGGCCCATTTTCCAAGCAGGAGCAATGCCGGGTCCACGATTTACGTTGGTCTGGGTCCCTAAATCAGTGATCTGGGCCCTGTGTCGGTCGGGGACCTGCGGCGCCTTGCAGGGGTCCTGTATCGACAAGTGGGCCTCCTCTCGGGACTGTAGCTCAGGGGCCCAATTGGACCCGGACCGGCATCCTACCCGTTGTGCTGTGATCTGAATTGCATTCAGAGAGCCTGTATTTGGGCCATCTTATTAGAACCTCCTTATTAGGGCCGTCGTATTATGACCCGCTATCCCTATTACAAGGGGTCTCGACACGAAGTCAAACAGTCGGTTCCGTGTCGGTCTGAACCCAAGGGACCCATTTCCCAAGCAGGAACAAGGCCGGATACGCGATTTTCAATGTTTGTGTCCCTGGCACAATGAGTGGCTCCTGTGTCGGTCAGGGGCTCCAGTGCCTGACAGGGGTCCTGTGTCGGTAAGTGGGCTAGAGTCAGCATGGAACCGTGTTTGAGGAGGACCAAAGGAGGGCCCAAAGGGTCTCTCGACACTCAAGGTCGAGGGTTCGATTGGAAAGCTAGGGGGCCCGAAGGGTTTACTGTAGGTTAGGAGACCACGCCCGTAGGGCCGTGATCTAAAATGTCAGTTAGAGGACCTCTTGCACCAATTGGGAGCCCCTGTGCCTTTGCTTTGGCTAAAGATCACGAACACGGGAAAGTCGACTCCTTGTCGGTCTGAGCTCTAAGGGTCCATTTCCTATGTAGATACAAGGTCAGGCCCGCGATTTGCATTGGAGGGAGCCCCTTCAACAATGTGAGGCTCCTGTTTCGGTCAGGGGCTCACAATGGCTGAAGACAATGGAGACAATAGAGGCCCTGCGTCAGTCAGGGCCTCTAGTACCGAATGGTGGAGTTTATTCCAGTCATGGAAATTGGACCGCCGCTGGGTTGCCTAAGGGAACTGCGGGTCCAGGCGTCGAAACTTTGGTTGCTCAAGACAAACTGAATTATATGTGTCAATGGTTGGACCATCTTCGGCAATCAGGGATCTTGTTGAGTCAGTGATGGCTCTTGCGTCGATCCGGGGCCAACTGCACGGGTTAGAAGGCCTCTCACGTCAGGGAGGGGACCAATGCGATATGATTTATCATTTTACCGGCCCCCGGATCGACCAGGACCCTTGCCCCCGTGTAGCCAGAATGGGCGTGATGGCACCCCGCGCTTGGCCGAAATGGCTCTTCAGCCCTTGACCGGGAACGATAATATGCTCCCTAGTGTTCGACTCAAGGGTACCAGCTACCTGGAGAAAGTAAGGGGTCCCATAAGTGTTGAATAGAGCGGGCCGAAATGAGTCCAAAATTGAAAAAGGCCATCCCATGGCTAACTAAGAACGTTCATTTTTTTGGAGAATTGACTAGTGAAACAGGATGCATCGAAAGTTGATAAGATGCCTGAAGTGAGCCTGCATGTTCGCAAAGTCAGAAGCAAGAGC